GCTGTCCAATTAGTTAGAAATAGAAATACAAATAGCTAGAACTTCATTTAAGGAGGTTATTAATAGAGTATTCAAGAGGTTGCTAGTAGAATTACAGTAAATCAACCACTCAAATCAGTATGAAGCTCTGTATAGTCTGCAGTCAATCAAACAAACGGGCTTCCAAATGGATTGTCATTTTTGTGGAAATTGGTGTCACGCCCCTTGTGCAGATATCCAAGAACTAGCTACAAGCAGTATTAAAACAGGGAAGTGTTTTTGGGTATGCCCAAATGAGGAAAATCTGTGGACTAAAATCACAAGGGTATTAAAAGAGGATAACATCAAAGCTGCTTTCATAGACAACCTGGAAGCTTTCTACAACAGATGGGAACATAAAAAGTCTGGGCTGAATGGTACTGCCCTTGATACTGGCCATGTAGTCAGAAACTGTAAGGCTGGAGGTGATGTCCTGGTAGTCAGTAAATGTGGGGCTGATAGTGCTGTCCTGGGAGACAGTAATGGTGAAGCTGGAGGTGCTGGTCCTGGGAGACAGTAATGGTGAAGCTGGAGGTGCTGTCCTGGGAGACAGTAATGGTGAAGCTGGAGATTTTGTCCAGGTAGTGGGGGAATTATACGCAGGAAGGAATACATATAAATGACCTCATAGGGGACAGGAGCCGTAGTGGGGGAAACAAGTGTAGTCAAAGATAAGATAAAACCATATTGAAAAACTAGAAATACCACAGAAATAGCAACAAGAGACTCCACTAGCTATAGTGGGGATATATTCCCAAAAAAACAACTGGTGGGAGCTCCATTGTTGGTGCTAGGGAGGATAGGAATAAGACAGGAAACATGCACCAACAGGGAATACAGTCACAGAAACCAAGGCAAAGGGAAAAACCAAGCCTGTGCACATACTATGCACTTGGTATCTGCAGACATGGGAAATCGGGAAAAAAACAGAGGGACGTCCAACTATGCCCACCCTAGCAAATGCCATGCCCATATGACAACGGGAAAAATGCAAACTCCCTTCCTGTAAGCTTTTTCACCTGAAATGTGTACCTCTTCAGTACAGGAAAAGACTGTGCTATAACTTAAATTGCCAGGCACACCATCTAAAGGGTACAAAAAGATACAAAACATCCAGGCCATGGGAAAACCTGGGTAGCCACAGCCACTCAAGAGGGAGAGGTTTTTTAGTGCCAGGAAGAAAAAAACTGGCAGGAAATGGCAGAAATCGTACACCAATCCAGTCATTCCGGAGTGGAACCACATCGATGGCCTCCACTCCAAACCAACAGATACAGATAATAATGCTGGAAAAAAATCCCCCCCTTCAGTACCAACAATACCACCAGTCTGATGACATTCTTCTTTGCAAATATACAGGGTCTAAAGCCAGCAACAAACAACAAAATACCTTTCATCCGTGGACTGCTTGCAGAGGCAAAGGCAATGTTCGCGGCTTTCACTGAGACCCACATAAAGGATCACTTGGACAACGAAATATGGATCCCAGGTTACAACCTATACAGATGTGACAGAGTGAACAGGCAAAAGGGGGGGGGGGTTGGCCTGTACATTGCAGAGTCACTTGTTTGCACAGAACTGCTAAATGCCTCAAATGATTAGTGGAAGTTTTTAGCAGTAAAAGGGCGAGAAACCAAAACCTAGTCATTGTGGTAGTCTACAAGCCTCCGGATGCAACATCTCAGCAATTCCAGGGAAAAGCTGTTAAAAATTGACCACTGTCGGAAAATCTTCCCGCTCCGCACCCAACATCTTGCTCCTGGGGGATTCAATTAAAGGGACCTAAAATGGAGAAAATAGCAAATAATATTTGTTGCAGTAATAACACCAGGAGGCAGCTCTGATGAAAACTCACACTCGCACGAGCTTTTAAATCTCTGCACAAAATTCAGTTTAAACCAGCAAATAATAGAGCCTACTAAACTGGAGAATACACTAGACCTCATCTTCACTAACAATGATGATTGATAAAAAATGTCCCCCATATCAAAAACAATATACTCAGATCACAACATAATTGAGGTTCAGACATGTATGCGTGGAGCCCCAGACCGACATAATGAGACTAGTCACGAGGGAGCATTCACCAAATTCAACTTCAATAACAAAAACATAAAGTGGGACCAAGTAAACCAAGTCCTAACCGATATAAGCTGGGAAGATATACTAAGCAACACAGACCCCAACGTATGCCTAGAACAGATTAACTTGGTGGCACTCGATGTATGCACAAGGCTTATTCCTCTAAGAAAAAGGAGGAGTAGATGTAAAATAGAAAGAGACAGGCGCTCCCTTTACAGGCGACGGAAAAGAATAACAGAGCGGCTAAAAGAGGTCAATATATCTGAAATGCGTAGGGAGACACTGGACAGAGAAATAGCAAGCATCGAACTCAAGCTAAAGGAATCTTATAGGAGTCAGAAATCGCAGGAAGAACTAAAAGCCATAAATGAAATCGAAAGAAATCCAAAGTATTTCTTCTCCTATGCCATATCAAAGTCGAGAACAACATCCAGTATTGGGCCCCTACTTAAACAAGATGGGTCCTACACAGATGACAGCAAGGAAATGAGTGAGCTACTCAAGTCCCAATATGACTCAGTTTTTAGAAAGCCGCTAACCAGACTGAGAATCGAAGATCAAAATGAATTTTTTATGAGAGAGCCACAAAATTTGGTTAACACAAGCCTATCCGATGTTATCCTGACGCCAAATGACTTCGAACAGGCGATAAATGACATGCCCATGAACTCTGCCCCAGGGCCAGACTCATGGAACTCTGTGTTCATCATGAACTGCAAGAAGCCCCTATCACGAGCCTTTTCCATCCTATGGAGAGGGAGCATGGACACGGGGGTCGTCCCACAGTTACTAAAAACAACAGACATAGCCCCACTCCACAAAGGGGGCAGTAAAGCAACAGCAAAAAACTACAGACCAATAGCACTAACATCCCATATCATAAAAATCTTTGAAAGGGTCCTAAGAAGCAAGATTACCACCCATCTAGAAACCCATCAGTTACACAACCCAGGGCAACATGGGTTTAGAACAGGTCGCTCCTGTCTGTCTCAACTATTGGACCACTACGACAAGGTCCTAAATGCACTAGAAGACAAAAAGAATGCAGATGTAATATATACAGACTTTGCAAAAGCCTTCGACAAGTGTGACCATGGCGTAATAGCGCACAAAATGCGTGCTAAAGGAATAACAGGAAAAGTCGGTCGATGGATCTATAATTTCCTCACTAACACAACACAGAGAGTAGTAGTCAACAGAGTAAAGTCCGAGGCAGCTACGGTGAAAAGTTCTGTTCCACAAGGCACAGTACTCGCTCCCATCTTGTTCCTCATCCTCATATCCGACATAGCCAAGGATGTCAGCCACAGCACCGTGTCTTCCTTTGCAGATGACACCCGAATCTGCATGACAGTGTCTTCCATTGCAGACACTGCAAGGCTCCAGGCGGACATCAACCGAATCTTTCAGTGGGCTGCAGAAAACAATATGAAGTTCAACGATGAGAAATTTCAATTACTCAGATATGGTAAACACGAGGAAATTAAATCTTCATCAGAGTACAAAACAAATTCTGGCCACAAAATAGAGCGAAACACCAACGTCAAAGACCTGGGAGTGATCATGTCGGAGGATCTCACCTTCAAGGACCATAACATTGTATCAATCGCATCTGCTAGAAAAATGACAGGATGGATAATGAGAACCTTCAAAACTAGGGAGGCCAAGCCCATGATGACACTCTTCAAGTCACTTGTTCTATCTAGGCTGGAATATTGCTGCACACTAACAGCACCTTTCAAGGCAGGTGAAATTGCTGATCTAGAAAATGTACGGCGCGCATAACGGAGATAAAACACCTCAATTACTGGGAGCGCTTGAGGTTCCTGAACCTGTATTCCCTGGAACGCAGGCGGGAGAGATACATGATTATATACACCTGGAAAATCCTAGAGGGACTAGTACCGAACTTGCACACGGAAATCACTCACTACGAAAGCAAAAGACTTGGCAGACGATGCAACATCCCCCCAGTGAAAAGCAGGGGTGTCATTAGCACGTTAAGATACCATACAATAAGTGTCAGGGGCCCGAGACTGTTCCACTGCCTCCCAGCATACATAAGGGGGATTACCAACAGACCCCTGGCAGTCTTCAAGCTGGCACTGGACAAGCACCTAAAGTCGGTTCCTGACCAGCCGGGCTGTGGCTCGTACGTTGGTTTGCGTGCAGCCAGCAGCAACAGCCTGGTTGATCAGGCTCTGATCCACCAGGAGGCCTGGTCACAGACCGGGCCGCGGGGGCGTTGATCCCCCGGAACTCTCTCCAGGTAAACTCCAGGTAGTTGCTTCTATTCTGCCTTGCTTACCATGAGGTGCACTAATACCTATTGCTGTACATAGTGTATATAGTGTAAATACTTCTGTTCTAAATTGGTGAAGGATAATACAAGTCAAAAGTTTTTCTGCTGTTTATTTTGCTCCCTTTACACCCAAGATAACAGACCATTCGGACTCCTAGGTTGTAATACTTTCCTTTTGTTTAAGTGCTGGTTTCTGCATGGCCAGACTTATGTATTGTTTATACACAGTGACACTTATGGTCTGTGTCCCTCCGCTGAGAGATTCATCTGAGGCCATCAAGGGACCCGTAATTTGTGTCCCTTCGCTGAGACATTCATCTGAAGCCATTCAGGGACCCGTGATTTGTCCCTCCGCTGAGACATTCATCTGAGGTCATCCAGGGACCTTTAATTTGTGTCCCTCACCTGAGACATTCATCTGAGGTCATTCAGGGACCCGTCATTTTCCCAAACTATCAACAGTTCATCTGGGCATCAATAAAACATCCACTGAATTTTAATAATTACATAAACCTTTATATATTCCTTCATGCAAACTTATAACATCTATAGTTTAATCAGACATCACAATATAACTAATTATATCATATTACTTTGAGTGTATATATGTTCATAAACAACTCAGTAATAAATTTGATACACACAATGAGGATTTATTTATACAAATTTTCTTGCTACTGTATTAACTTGCACAAGAATAATATATTCAGTTCTTTCATACACTCTACATAAGAAAATCAAAATATTGAGAATGTACCATCTTGAAAATAATAATTAAAGACTGACATTGTCTCCCCAACAAAAATTATACCATATTTAATTAATTTAGTTTTAAGTATATACCAGCGTTTCCTGGCTCCTTCCTTCCAAAAAATTACAATAGTCATATACTATATTTGATTATTGACTTACAACCATTAACAATATCTTATATATTTTTTTTTCACAATATACCTTATATATATAAATGTAAGAATCACCAATATTTTACCTTGATCAATATAACATCATAACTACTTGTAATATTAATATTTCTAAGATAGAATAATGGAATATATTTATATAAGTTCAAGTTATTATTATTATTATCAAAAAGAAGCGCTAAACCATAAGGGTCATACAGCACAACTATAACTTCAGGGTCACTGTAAAGTCTTTTTCACAAATTTTATTACATCTTAATGTTGTTCATCTTGTTTTGTTGCCAAATTTTTGTAATATTTCTGGCAACAACATTAAGACCATCCTTAATGAGGTTTTTTGTTCTGTGATGATTTTCCTAAGACATTTAGGCTTTTAATATACTTACGTAGCCCTTCATATTCTTCATGAATAGGCTTAAGGTCAATCTCATCAACCATCTTTGGAAGTTTTTCTAATACAGAGCAAATATATTTTTTAGTGTCTGGGTCAGAAATGCTCTCACTCTTGCTCTTCATAATGTCAGCTATCATGTTATCAACATACTGTTTAGCTGTCAGAGAGTTTGTGTTCCTTCCAATAATGCTGATCTTTTCAGTATGCTTCACAATTCTCTTGATGGCTTGTGCCATGCTTTCAGTGATCTTAACATTTTTTTCCTCAAACTCTTTCAATTTTTTCTCTACTTCTGCCTTATTATTGATGGCAATTCCATACTGTTCCTTCATGTGCTCGTCTGTCACTTCAATTTCAACAATCTCTTCTTTGATAATAAATTTTTCTTTAACGTGAGATGAATTATGACAGTGACACTTTGAGCAGGTAGTCCAGTATGGGAATAATGTTTGATTCCAAAGAGTTACTGGATTCCAGCAAATGAAGTTTCCATTGCATGAAGATATACATGTTATGTCGCAGTTCTTACAGTTGTGAGAATGGGTGAATGTGCCATCAGTTGGAACTTTAATTTTTCTGCTCACTTTCTCTTTTCCAATCCAATCCTTGTTCTTCTTCATACTTTCTTCATAGTTTTCAAGCAATTTCATTTGACTCTGGCTTACAATAAGCATATTAACACTGTATTCTATGTTTCTTTTAAAATCCAAGAGTGTTCTCTCCAGGTAACTCTTTTCTTGAAGAGCTTCCCTGGTAAGTTTAAGGCTCACTGACTCAGTCTCAGTAAGGTCTTGTACCAGACGATTAAATTCTCTAGATGATTTTGTCCAACAACTTTGGCTTTCATTAATTTCATCTTCCGTCATGCCAGAAATATTACATTCCTCTGTTTTGTTAGGCTCATACAGTGCTGCATTGTCAAAAGAATATGTTGTTTTTACCTTCCAGTTAATTGATTTTAAAACCTCTGGAGCTTTTGATTTTCCTGGTCCTTTGCATGTTAACAAAAGATTAGTTATGTCAGCTGTATCTGCTCCAAACAAATCATGAAATTCATCCTTTATGTTAGTCAGATATCCCATTGCTCTGTTGACAGTGGCTTGCATTACAACTCCAATGGAGTGAAGTTCGTTAACACCAAACTTCTCTTCTTTCAAAAAAAACTTTAATTGTTTCACTATTTGTTTCTGTTGATAAGCGCCTCTGGTGTCTGCTAGTCCTGGAGTGTCAATGATCATAAAGTTATACTCATGTTTCATTGCAGGATTGTGATACACTAGATATCCTGTTACATAGTCTGTTTGACTCTGTGCCTCATGTCTCCTTTCGTTCCCTGTCTCATCTTGAATCTTATAGCGAACATCGCTGTCAAAAGTAATATTGCAGAGGTGATTAATGATGCCATTGACAAAAGTTGTCTTTCCAGACCCTGTCGCACCAATGAGCACCATTGACTTAATGGGTTTGTTGACCTCTTCTCCAATGGTCAGAATTTTTATCTTGTTAACCGGATCTACGATTTTTGTTTTTGTTTTTAGTATGGAGATAATAGGATGAAATTTGTGAGGAGAACAATCATCCTGCAGCACTGCTTGCGTGACTTCACTCATCTTGTGTGCAACTGACTGAAAAATAAATTATATTTATATTAAAAATAAATGCAATTAATACATTGGTTCATTTAAATCTCTAGCTGTTATGCTCACATTAATATAACTACGAGAAGAACCCACAAATTGTACGCATTTTCTCCAGTATATACATACAAAATTCAATATCCTTACTTGATGTGCTGTGGTCACTGCACGTTACATTGGAAGTATATCCCATAACCCCGGATCATTGTACCTCAATACAAACAAGAGGAGCTACAACTTAACTTCTCAAGAGAGCCAGGAGTAAATCAATACCCACAGAAGGTCCAGGAGATAGAAAAGTATACCCTCAAACGGCCTAGAAGTTTTAACTCGACACTCAACAAGTCTATCACCCATTGTTTAACACCCTCAACTCGATGAAGTCTATCACACTTTGTTAATCACCCTTGCGAAGCCTATGAGCCATAAGCGGCCAGAAAAAGCATGGGGCTTGCTATTATATCTTCCAATTTCATACTTGACATTTCAAAAACCCTCCTACCCCATATGGGGAGTAGGGGGATGTTGGTGGTGTGGGGTTGGCACTGACTGTTGGCCCTACATCGTGAGAGAAGCTGCAGCCAGGGACACACCCGCACTGCACTACTCTGAGAAAATTTCCCTGCTTCAGTTGCTGCCTTGCAACATTGCATAGCTCTTGATGATGCACTGAGAAGTGTGAAAGTACTTGAGCTAAAGATTTCCCCCCCAGTGGCTTGACTTGCACACGCACACACACACACACACACACACACACACACACACACACACACACACACACACACAGAGTAGGGACAGCGAGCGCGCGAGTCACGCCTTCCGTGCTCCGGGAATATAAGTGTTTCTGAGGGCTACCCAAGTGTTCTGCAAGGGTTGCAAAGTGTGTCAGGGTAGTGAACAATCCTAGAAGTGTTTTTTAATCTTCCTGAGCCACATAAGTGTGGGGAGAGCCACAATTTTGTAAGTGATCTAGAAAATAAAAACGTGGTGGTGCAGAGTGAGCAGGTTAGTGTGGGTGGTAAGGCGACGTTGTCAAGTGTCACCCAAGACTGCAAAACTAACTTCAAGGAGAAATATCTTGGGGTGGAGTATAACACGAGCATGTCTCCGGAAGCACACATTCAATCAGATAACTGCTGCTGCATATGGGCGCCTTGGCAAACCTAAGTACAGCATTCGATACCTTAGTTAGGAATCGTTCAAGAACTGTACACCGTGTATGTCAGGCCCATACTGGAGTATGCAGCACCTGTTTGGAACCCGCACTTGATAAAGCACGTCAAGAAACTAGAGAAAGTACAAAGGTTTGCCACAGGTTAGTTCCAGAGCTAAGGGGGAATGTCCTATGAAGAAAAGATTAAGGGAAATCGGCCTGGACGACATGAGGACAGGAGGGTCAGGGGGAGTCATGATAACGACATATAAATTTTCTGCGTGGAATAGACAAGATGGACAAGGACAGGATGTTACAGAGAGGGGGAACAGAAACAATGGGCCCACTATTGGGTGAAGACACAAATGAGTCAGAGAGATATTAGGAAGTATTCTTCAGTCATAGGGCTTGTAAGGCAGTGGAATAGCCTTTAGATAATGACGTCCGTAATGGTGGAAGGAGGAACCATACACAGTTTTAAAGACGAGGTTTGTTTATGCTCATGGAAGCGGGGAGAGAGTAGAGAGGGCCGTAGCATCCGGTATTGAAGAGGCGGGGCCAAGAGCTAGTCTCGACCCCTTGCACCCACAAATAGGTGAGTACAAATAGGCGAGTACACAAACACTCACACACACACACACACATACACTCACACAACCACTACCCCCCTAACCATCCCTCCCTCACACACCACTCACACCACACACACACCACACAACACACACACCACCACACCACGAGGGCAGGGACACCATAGAAGCTTTAGACCCTAGTAGCAATTCGCTTTTTACAACCCAGAATTACTGGTATGTATTAAAAAGTATCTCCCCCTCTTACCTCCCGCATACAACGAAGCAATTGTATACACACATACACACACACAACTGTACTAGGACATTTTGGTAACTAACTAGGCGAATACATTAACACACACACACACACCATATACACACACACTACAGCAAACACACACACACCACACCACACACACACACACATACACACACACACACACAAAACATTGCACACACACACACACACACACACACACACACACACACACACACACCACACACACACACACACACACACACAGACCCTGTACACCGTGTAAGTTAGGCCCATATTGGAGGTATGCGGCACCAGTTTGGAACCCACACTAGCCAAGCACGTTGAAGAAAACTAGAGAAAGTGAAAGGTTTGCAACAAGAATAGGTCAGAGCTCAAGAGGTATGTCCCTACGAGGAGAGGTTAAGGGAAATCAACCTGACGACACTGGAGGGACAGGAGAGGTTAGGGGGGACCATGATAACGACATACAAAATACTGAGAGGAATTGAAACGGTGGACAAAGACCAGGATGTTCCTGAGATTGGAAACTGTAACAAGGGGAAACTGTTGGAGCTGACGACATAGATGATCACAGGGATTGTTAGGAAGTATTTCTTCAGCCACAGTGTAGTCTAAGTGGAATAGTTTGGGAAGCGATTTAGTGGAGGCAGGATCACTACTTAGCTTTAAGCTGAGGTATATAAGCTCACGGCTCTGGAGAGTGACCTAAGTATCGATCAGTGAAGAGGCGGGGCCAGGAGCTCGGACTGGACCCCCGCAACTCAACTAGGTTGAGTACAACTTGCTGTGGAGTACACACACACCATGTAAGGACGTGGTGGTCAAGTCCCAGGAGGTTGGGGGTCAGGTCACAAGTAGTTGTGGGCTGCTAGGACCACTGAGACTATACATTACAAGGCACAAGCAACCTACCTTTCAGTACATAATAAACCCACACATAATTCCACACAAATTACCACACACACACACCCACACACACACACACACCACACTCGACCCATGCAACCACAATAGGTGAGTTCATAAACGGTGAGTACTCCACACACACACTCACCTATATCCAGACTCACAATTCCATCTACCCCCCTCACCACCGACATCTCACTACTTCCCTGATACCTTCCCCTCCCCGTTCACCTCCCCTCCCACGTTCCACCCTCCCCTCCCCAACCCTCCCCACTCGTCTCCCACATAGCCAACAGTTCCTCCACTTACCACCCCCCCCACACTCTGACATACACACTTACTAACCTAAACATACAGAACTACATTGGTTTCCCACACTGCGGCAATCAGGATAAAACAAAAATGGGTTTGGCCAGAGATACAACAGAAAAAACCAAGGGACAGGGAGGAGGACGTTGCAAAGGAAGATTGGGCAGCAGTGTCTCATAACAAGGAGATCATGAATGGGAAAAAGAAACTAGAAGAACTTAGCATGAAGAATGGAAAAAAGAGAGGAAAGATATGGAAAGCAGGAAGTGGGAGGCTGCATGTCAAAGCAGCAGAGGCTTAGGATACAGAGTTTAGAAGAGGGGAACTGAAAATCTGAAACAGCATAAAGAACTAAAGAACATTTGGGATTGACAACAGAGGACTGCTACCTCAGCCACAAATTGGGGGACAGTAGGATAAGGGAAGCACCAAAACTGCATGGACGAAGCTCTATCAGAGGGAGACTGTAGTAAATGAAAGAGCTAAGCTTTATGTGGGAGGCCCTAACAGACAACCAACAGACGCCCAAGGAATAGCCGAGATAGGGGAAATGGACAGGCACTGAGTCCAAGTTACATTAGCTAGTGAAAACAGAAGAAAAGAAAGATGCAGAGGAAGGAAACCAAATTAAATGAGGGGAATACACAGGGATTTGCAGTGCGGGAATGAAAGGTTGAGGTCTGGTATTTGTGTATGGGCTCCGGAAGTTGAAGGGGAAAACATATGAAGCAAGAAAACAAGTGAAAAAAAAAGCAATTGAAAGCCATCATGAAAGCTATGGAGAAGAAAATGACCCAGCTGAAAATTTTTTCGGAGAATAGGGGGGTTTGTAAAAAAAAGAACCCGGCCAGTGAAAGTGACCTTCAAGGCAGAAGCGACTCGGACCGGATCCTGCAGGAGAAAAACACGATTAAGGGACATGCCGGCATACAGGAAGGTGTATCTCGACCGCGACAGAACACAAGAAGAAAGGCAGAAATGAGACAGATGGTACAAAGGCGAAAGGAGAAAAAGAGAGGGGATGGAGAAAACAGACAGGAGATCCAAGACCCAGGAAGAAGACAAATACAGCTCCCTCACAACTTCCTATAGAAACCTCCCAACCAGGTCAACCCCAGTGCAACCAAACACTCTAAATCAAAACACCCAGGGCCCCATCCCAAAGCCCCCACCCACTACATTACAAACTCCACCCCACAGCAACAACCCATAGTTCCTTACCAGGTCTCCCACTTCCCCAACCCCAATATACCTCCCAGACCACAGTCTTAGAAAAGAAGTTTAAGGGTGGTATACAAATTCAGATGGAATAACAAACAATTATGAGGAGTGGCACGAAAGAATCAAAGAGACATCCCCAGACATAAATAGCACTCACAGAAACAAAACTCACCAGAATAATAACAGATTCAATCTTTCCATCGGATATAAATCCTCAGGAAAGGGCAGAGGGAAGAGAGGGGGGAGGAGAGTTGCACTGCTCATTAAAAACCAGTGGGGTTTTTGAGAAAATGGAAGGAAGGATGGCACGGGCGAAAGGGGCTACTTAGTAGGAAAAAATCCGGTCTGAGGTACATAAGGTGATAATTGCAGTAATGTACAACCCACCACAGAAATGCAGGAGGCCAAGAGAAGAATACGATGAGAGCAACAGAGCAATGATCGACACACTACCCAGGTGGCCAGGAGAGCACACAGGGGGGAGCAAAGTTACTAGTTATAGGTGATTTCAATCATAAGGATTTTCTGGGGGAAAAACCGGGGGCCCCTTGGGGTCCCA